GGCAGGAGGATTGCCTGAACCCAGGAGACGGAGGTTGCAGTGAGCCGAGATCACGCCATTGCACTCCAGCCTGGATAACAAGAGTGAATCTCTGTCTCAAAAAAAAAATAAAAATAAAAAAATAAAAAATAAAAATAAAAAATAAATAAAAAAATCTAGGTGTCCTAAGATGTATTATTAGGGCAACTGGTCTTCTCTTCCTGCCTTTTTCGTATTATGCTGACAAGTTCTTCAGGATTCATAATTCTTTACCTCTAAGGAAGCTGTAAAAATGGAGTTAAGTATTTTTAACTTGAAAAGCACCTAAGAATGATCCCATGGAAAACTTTGGTACAGTTACAATCTAGTATGAACTGTTGGAAGACAGGTGAGAAAATGTAAAGGTCTTATCCACCAGATACGGTGAAACAGTTCCTGTGGAAATTTAAGTACAAAAGATGTAATCATCTTCTGTCCCCTAACAAAACAGGAAGGAAACTGAAATAGGAAGCACTGGAAATATCCTGAAGGGGGAAAGAAAAGAAGATCAGACATCAGTATTTATTAAAATCTTTATTCATTTTCTTTTTTCAGAATTGAAACCCACAGAACACATTAGAAATTTAGATGCATATCTGTCCTGTTTGATATCTTACCAAGTACAATCTCTGTCTGTGCAACAGCTCTGAGAGGAAATCCCTGGCAGATCAAAAGAGAGGGCAGTGGCCCCTACACTTTCCATTTAAGCAAATAAATTAGCTTCCCAGTAAGTTGTTCCCAGTTTCACCCAACATTTTGTGTTTATGAGAAACACCTTAGTTCCTAAAAACCTGTGGTAGTCCAGTACCCAGCCCCTACCTTGTCACCACCCAGACTTGAGAAATTGAAGGCAAAAAACTGGCCTTCCCCTGTAGAATGAGTTTCATGAGGCCAGGTGTGCCTGGCTCACTAGTGTGCCTGGCCTGTGCTGGCACACTAGAGTTGCTCAGTAGGTATTTGCTGAATGAATGGGCTTTATGTTAATTAGGGTCCACTCTCAGAGACTGAGAATCTTTCACTAGCTGCAAGTCCTTTAGCAATGTAAGACAGTGTTCCCCTTTGTCAAAATAAATAGGTTTTTCTGGCTAGAATACATATACGACTATATACATTACACATACCTTTAAAACTCATGTTTCCTGAAGCTCAAACTCACAGGATGAGGCATGTAAGATAGCTTACCAACGATGCTGTTTTACCATCTTTGAGATGTGGTCATTCACTGGCCAAAGAATACACAGTGATGGAGAAGAAAGACTGAAGAAACACGGCAGATGGGAAGGGGAGGCAAGAGCATTTTCTTTCTTAAGAAAAAAAGATGGATTTCTTTGGAAGAAAATGCAGGCTTCAGGTGACATTGAAAAATTGCCACGTATAAGATTCATCTTTCCAAAAATAATATGCAATTAACGTACCTGAATTCTTCCATTTCCTTCCTAAATTTCATTTGACATATTAACCCTGAGTGCAAACAGGGAGCAATGCCTTATTAATACATTCTTGAATAATACTCTGAGCAAATTAGATCCTATGAATTTGTTCTACACAGAAAATTATTTACACCTCCCCCAAACTCACAATGGAGCCTCATAATAAAGAACAGTTTTATAACAAAACCTTTATACTCAACTTAGTCACTCAAACTTCAGAATAAGCAGTTTTAACAAGTAGGAGGAGGGCAGGAAATGGCCATGAGTTCTGATTTTCCTAGTTTTGTAGTATTAAAATGTCTCCACATCTACCTTTGGATGTTTGGTCGGCATACCTAACTTAGAGCAGACCCAAACCCTGCAACAACTTGACTGTAACAGCCTTAGATTCTCTCTCTCTTTTTTTTTTTTTTTTTTTTTTTTTTAGACAGAGTTTCGCTCTTGTCACCCAGGCTGGAGTGCAATGGCGCGATCTCGGCTCACTGCAACCTCCGCCTTCTGGGCTCAGGCAATTCTCCTGCCTCAGCCTCCTGAGTAGCTGGGATTACAGGCATGCGCCACCACGCCCAGCTAGTTTTTTTGTATTTTTAGTAGAGACGGGGTTTCACCATGTTGACCAGGATGGTCTCGATCTCTCGACCTCATGATCCACCCGCCTCGGCCTCCCAAAGTGCTGGGATTACAGGCTTGAGCCACCGCGCCCGGCCTTAACAGCCTTAATTCTAATAAATAAACTATAAAGAGGAGAGTGTTGCAAAACTTAAAAGCATCTTTTTTTTTTTTTTTTTTTAAAGACAAGAGTCTAAAAAAGTTGCCCAAGCTGCAGTTCAGTGCCAGGATCTCAGCTCACTGCAACCTCCACCTCCCAGGTTCAAGCGATTCTCTTGCCTCAGCCTCCCGAGTAGCTGGGACTACAGGTGTACGCCACTGCACCCGGCCAATTTTTGCATTTGTAGTAGAGACAGGGTTTTACTGTGTTGGCCAGGCTGGTCTTGAACTCCAGGCCTCAGGTGATCCGCCTGCCTTGGCCTCCCAAAGTGCTGGGATTACAGGTGTGAACCACTGTGCCTGGCCCCTTCCTCTTCTTTCAAACGGTTTGAAGTTTAGAGCTGTAACTTTATGGCTGGTTTTCTCCAAGATTTGCCTAACCACGCTTTTCCAGCTTACTCCAATCCTGACTTAGAACAAAAATTTATATTCTCAGGGCCATGTGACACCATTCTATTAGCTTAATTCTAACTTTATGAATTAGAGTTCTAAATTTTATGGATGAAAAATCAAAATTTATGGATCAGAATGCTTTTTTTTTTTTTTTGAGACGGAGTTTCGCTCTTGTTACCCAGGCTGGAGTGCAATGGCGCGATCTCCGCTCACCGCAACCTCCGCCTCCTGGGCTCAGGCAATTCTCCTGCCTCAGCCTCCTGAGTAGCTGGGATTACAGGCACGCGCCACCACGCCCAGCTAGTTTTTTGTATTTTTAGTAGAGACGGGGTTTCACCATGTTGACCAGGATGGTCTCGATCTCTCAACCTCGTGATCCACCCGCCTCGGCCTCCCAAAGTGCTGGGATTACAGGCTTGAGCCACCGCGCCCGGCAGAATGCTTTTTTTTTTTTTTTTTTTTTTTGAGACGGAGTTTCACTCTTGTTACCCAGGCTGGAGTGCAATGGTGCGATCTTGGCTCACCGCAACCTCTGACTTCTGGGTTCAGGCAATTCTCCTGCCTCAGGACTACAGGCACGCGCCACCATACCCAGCTAATTTTTTCTATTTTTAGTAGAGACCGGGTTTCACCATGTTGACCAGGATGGTCTTGATCTCTTGACCTTGTGATCCACCCGCCTCGGCCTCCCAAAGTGCTGGGATTACAGGCATGAGCTACCGCGCCCGGCCAGAATGCTTTTTAAGATCACGAGTTTGAAAATAGGTGGGAATAAAATGAAATGATAAATTTTGTGCAAATGCTTTGAAGAAAGGATGAGACATTTTATTTTCTGCCTGCTTTTTTCCTTAGCAGAATCTTCTGCCTTCAATGTTACGAAGTTCCCAGTTTGAGAAGACTTCTCACTCATTTCAGTGGAGCATACTAAAGGCATCACGTATTTGAAAGACCACAAATCCGTAACATTTACAGGGAGAGCAGAGCTGACACCTCTTCCTATTATCTCCTCCCAGCTGGCTCCTGGAAGCTCATGGGCGAGCACTAACAAGGTATTCTCATACTGAGCTGTGAATTTCCCTGGACACATAACAGTGAGTAGCCTTAACATTGAAATCAATGCCTCCTTTGGTTAACACTAATTCTGTGTTTTGTACTAGTCTCTGTCTTCTTAAATTCAATACCCTTTTTATAACTCAGTCCATTGTTCTGTCCATCTAAAAATGTATATAAAATATATAAAAGTTTCCTAATTCCATGCCATTTAAAAATAGTTACAGGTTACTCAGTTATCTTTCAATGCAAGAAAATTGGGCATAAATTCTAAGGCCGTTTTTGAAAGAGTGGTTGCCTAAAACTAGTTCCCAATGGTTGGCATTAAATGCAGTCAACCACACTGTTTAAATATTCGCCTCTGCTTGACAGAAATGCAAAGCTGGAACAGCACCTCGACAAGATGCAGGAGCAAAGCACACAGCTCTGAGTCCACAGGTGAGTGGGCATGTCAGGCCTGTCTTCCTTTGCCCCTGTGTTTTACTGCAGCTACTTACATGTCGAGATCACTTTGCCAGAACACAAAACTAAAACTGTTTCAGCAACCTGAAATTTGAGAGTGCTAAGAGGAGAAAGAAGCATAATCCAACATCATGGGTTCAAAACTCCAAACAAAACTGAATGATGGAATTAGGATTTACCATAAATCAAAATCTTAAGGCTCTTCCTTTTAACCTCCTCAACTTCAAGGCTCAGAAGACTTAACATCTTCGCCCGGCACGGTGGCTCATGCCTGTAATCCCAGCACTTTCGGAGGCCAAGCGGGTGGATCACCTGAGCTCAGGAGTTCGAGATCAGCCTGGCCAACATGGTAAAACCTTGTCTCTACTAAAAATATAAAAATTGGCTGGGCATGGTGGCGGGCTCCTGTAATCCCAGCTACTATGGGGGCTGAGACAAGAGAATCACTTGAACCCAGGAGGAGGAGGTTCCAGTGAGCTGAGATTGTGCCACTGCACTTCAGCCGGAGTGACAGAGTAAGACTTGGTCTTAAAAAAAAAAAAAAAAAAAAAAAAAAAAAAAAAAAAAAAAGGCGGCTTAGAATCTTTATTTCCAGTCTTCCAAAATCACAAGATAAGTCCAGCCACCAGTAAGGTATACACTCTCACTTGTAGGTGTGTCCCTTTCTCATCAGGGACAAGAAGGTGGCAGATCTCTGGTGAACAGAAGCTTCAGTGACAAAATGCCTTAAAGGCGGAGGTGGAAATTCATCTCAGAAGAGAAATGAGGATGGCAGAGACCACAGGCCACCTGTTATTCAAGGTATTACTCAGTTTGCTTTGTTAATTTGGAAAGGACTGCTTTAGGCAAAAGGGGGAAGAATTAGTCTCCGTAAAAGGATCATGCTTAGAAGGTAATAGTATTTTCTCTAGAAACAACTTTTTGGTTAACTGGGACACAACTGTGAGAATGCAGAATTTACTTAGGTGTAAAGTCGTTTCCTTTTTACATACCTTAAGAACCGAAATACAAAGGCATCTGTTTTTCAACAGTTCAATCATCTCCCCAATTGCTTCTACCAAGTGACTCTCTCCTTCCCTCCTCTAAGATGATCAAAACAATACTATCCAACGGCTCAGAAGCCCAAACATCTTCCTGTTTTTGTCCTTCCCTCCAATTCTATCCTAAACAAGTATCTCCTCCAACAGAGTGTGCTATTTTGGCTTGATGGAATGCAGGGTTTTATTTGCTGCCACTCTGTAGGAGGCAACAAGCATTCCAGATTTAACTAGTTCCGGTAAAAAAAAAAAAAAAAAAAAAAAAAAAGACATACGAGATTGCAAAGTGTTTCCACAAAATCCACAGGCGTGGAGAAAGGACTGCAAGGTTCAACTCAAAACACATGCTCCAGAGCCAGTCCCAGTATTCATCCTTCCAAATGTCACACCTCTCTTTGTCCTTTGGCATGGGAATTAAGACTGACCAACTATGATGCCCACTGCTAGAATGGGCAATTGCCGAGGAAGTCAGAAGGCGATTCAGCAGGAATGTCTCCATGCTCTGAAACTTGTGGTCTTTGCTTTAGTTTCCACTACAGAAAACACCAGAGACATCCAAGGCCACCCTGTCCCCTGTAACCAGAACTTGCTGCTGGCCATTTCCAATCCATCTCATACCATTTGGAATTGATTGTGCTGTTTCTCTATCTTTGTAAAAAGAAGTTTCACTTATTTTGTGTTGAGAATTACAAGTGTGAGAGAGGCATCCTGTCTTCCACCAGTACAGTGTCCATCCCGAACTGGTCAGTGCACTGCTTCACGGTGACCAGGACACTCAGGAGCCGCTGGTCCACAGCATCCAGATGAGGATCAGAGAGCACTGGGAAGATGGGGTCATGGGCCATGGCAGATTTTAAGGCAGACTTTAGCACACCATTCTTTAGGTAGTTCAGTCTGTTCCAGGTAGAAACCCGAATGCTGGAAGAAAAGTTATAGAACAAGGTACATAAAACTTCTCATTATCAAACGGAGTCGAAAGCCTGCTAGGCAGACAAAAGTAAAAAAATAATTAGGTAAAATACTTTTAACTAAATAATTTTTGTCTTAGAATTACCTCTACATAAGTAAGCCACATTATCATGTTGTTGTTGTTTTTATTTTTGAGACAGAGTCTCGCTCTGTCATCCCCTCCGCCTCCCAGGTTCAAGCAATTCTCTGCCTCAGTCTCCTGAGTAGCTGGGATTCCAGGCACCCACCACCACGCCCGGCTCAAATTTTTGTATTTGTAGTAGAGACAGGGTTTCACCATCTTGGCCAGGCTTGTCTTGAAGTCCTGACCCTCAGATCCACCTGCCTCGGCCTCCCAAAGTGATGGGATTACAGGTGTGAGCCAACACACCCGGCCTACATTACCATGTTTTGATACTGTTTCTGGGTAATCAGAGATATATACAGAGATTTACATAAATGTTCACTGCAGTGCTGTTCGTAACAGGAAAAATGTTAAACAATCTGAATGTCCAATGATTGGGAAATAGTTAAATTATGGTTCATTCACTGAAAGGAATACCATGCAGTCGTTAAAAACAATTTTGAAAATTTAGTGGAATGGGAAAATGCCTATATGATGCTGGGTAGGAGAAAAAAGTTGGAGGAAAAACCTACTACTTCAAATCTGTAGGAAAACAAAATACACACACACAGGATTAGAATGAAGTACACTACAAAGTTACTAAGAGGATGTATCCTTAGACGTTAATGGGTACTACAAACTTCCTTCTTCATGTGTTTCTGAAGTCTAAAAAAATTTTTACTAGGAAAAAATTATTTTAAGGATGCCTATCTGCCTTAATTATTTCACCAACTGCTACCATTTCAATGTCTATCCCCTCCAAAATTCATGTTGAAATTGCTATTCTAACAGTATCAAGGTGGAGTCTTTAAGAGGTCATTAGGCCATAAGGGCTCTGCCCTCATGGGTGGAACTCATGCTGTTATGAAAAGACAAGTTCAAGGCCAGGCACAGTGGCTCACACCTATAATCCCAACACTTTGGGAGGCCAAGGCAGGCAGATCACCTGAGGTTGGGAGTTCGAGACCAGCCTGGCTAACATGGTGAAACCCCGCCTCTATTAAAAATACAAAAATTAGCTGGGCATGGTGGTGCATGCGTGTAATCTCAGCTACTTGTGGGGCTGAGGCACAAGAACTGCTTGAACCTGGGAGGTGGAGGCTGCAGTGAGCGAAGATCATGCCATCATACTCCAGCCGGGGCAACAGAGCGAGACTCCGTCTCAAAAAAGAAAAGGCAAGTTTGGCCCCTTCTTGCCTTCTCTCCTTGCCCTTTTACCTTCTGCCATGTGATATGATGAAGCAGCAAGAAGGCCCTTGTCAGATGTTGGCACCATGATACTCAAACGTTCCAGCCTCCAGAACTGTGAGCTAATAAATTTCTGTTTATTATAAATGACAGTCTGGCCAGGTGCAGTAGTTCATGCCTGTAATCCCAGCACTCTGGTAGCCCCAAACAGGCAGATCATCTGAGGTCAGGAGTGCAAGACCCGCCTGGGCAACATGGTAAAGCCGTATCTCTACTAAAAATACAAAAATTACCTGGGCATGGTGGTGCATGCCCATAATCCCAGCTACTTGGGAGGCTGAGACACAAGAATCACTTGAACCTGGGAGGCAGAAGTTGCAGTGAGTTGAAATTACACCATTGAACTCCAGCCTGGGCGACAAAGCAAGACTCCATCTCAAAAAAATAAAATAAATTACCCAGTCTGTAGTATCCTGTTATAGCAGCGCAAAACAAACTAAGACACCAACTACAGAGTATCCTTTATTTATCTGGGAAGAAAAGTTCTTAGCTCTCTGTGGGCAAAGTAGGAATTACTGGGTATGCAGAAATGTCTGATTCTGTAAAAGGCAGCCTGTTGGGCAACAATTTAAAAGGTAAGGAAGACTTGCATAAAGCATGCATGGAAGGGACAAACAGGCACAGATGGAGTACAGTTATTTTTTATTCTGAAATATATTACAAATGCCCAGAGAATCAGAGCTTCCTGTGCAAGACTAAGTTAACACATTACTTCCTCTCAGCTCCAAATTCACTCTTCAAAATATGCTCTACTGGCCGGGCACTGTGACTCACGCCTGTAATCCCAGTGCTTTGGGGAGCCAAGGCGGGCGGATCACCTGAGGTCAGGAGTTTGAGACCAGCCTGGCCAACACGGTGAAACTCTGTCTCTACTAAATATACGAAAAATTAGCTGGGCGTGGTGGTAGGCACCTATAAGCCCGGCTACTCAGGAGGCTGAGGCAGGAGAATTGCTTGAACCCAGGAGGCAGAGCTTGCACTGAGCCAAGATCCTGCCACTGCACTCCAGCCTGGGTGACAAAGTGAAACTCTGTCTCAACAAAACAAAACAAAACAAAAACAAGCAAACAAAAACAAAATGTGCTCCACTACAATGGGCAGGATTCCTTTGAGCATCTTTCCCCTACAGCTTTCTCACTAGAGTGCGCTAGGGGGACACTGCAGGAGGAAGGGGCTCTCTGAATGCTTCTGTGGGTCCACAGTGGTGTTGGGGAGGCACACAGGTCATCTAGTGAATCGCTGTCTAGCCACATTCCCAGAAGATGTGAGTCCTTGGTGACCTGATGACTTAGCCTGGCCTGGAGATAACTCTCCTGAGGCCCTCTCAACATGGAACCCAGAGCTTTAAAGGCCATCTGTTCACCCTGGCCCCAATTACCTCTGAAGGCCCACACGTGTGCCTCACCTGTGGCACAGAAGGTTCCTGCTGGATTTCCTCTCTCCCTCTGCATGTCGCGACACCAGCTGTGGCTTGCCTATACCCTGCCTGCACCCTGGAGAATTGCTTCTGGCTTGCTCGGCACTTGTAAACTAGCAAACTTCTCTGCTATCCAGTGGGCTGAGCTAAACCTTCTCCACTGAAGTCCAAACTCTAGTCACTGGGAGAAGGTCCCCTTCCAAGTTTGTCCTTCCTTGGGTACTCTCCCTCAGCCCTAGTTTTCTTTTATAGTAGTAACTCCTGTTACTGAAATTTATTAATTCTTTATATTGGGTCGGGTGCTGTGGCTCACGCCTATTATCCCAGCACTTTGGGAGGCTGAGGTGAGCAGATCACAAGGTCAAGGAGTTCGAGACCAGCCTGGCCAAGATGGTGAAACCGCATCTCTACTAAAAATAAAAGAATTAGCCAGGCGTGGTGGTGGGTGCTGGGATCCCAGCTACTTGGGAAGCTGAGGCAGAGAACTGCTTGAACCAGGGAGGGAGAGGTTGCAGTGAGCCGAGATCGTGCCCCTGTACTCCAGTCTGGGTGACAGAGCAAGACCCTGTCTCAAATTTAAAAAAATAATAAAATAATAAAATTATATCAGGAATGATGAAAAGAAGCTTCTTAGAACTTAGACTTTATGTTATTTTCTTGACTCACTTTTCAGTATCTCTGTTCTCTAATACAGAGTTTTTTAAAAAATTCAATTATTGGGCCGGACGCAGTGGCTCACGCCTGTAATCCAAGCGCTTTGGAGGCCAAGTCGGGTGGATCACCTGAGGTCGGGAGTTCAAGACCAGCCCGACCAACATGGTGAAACCTTGTCTTTAAAAAAAAAAAAAAAGCCGGGCGCGGTGGCTCAAGCCTGTAATCCCAGCACTTTGGGAGGCTGAGGCGGGTGGATCACGAGGTCGAGAGATCGAGACCATCCTGGTCAACATGGTGAAACCCCGTCTCTACTAAAGATACAAAAAATTAGCTGGGCATGGTGGCACGTGCCTGTAATCCCAGCTACTCAGGAGGCTGAGGCAGGAGAATTGCCTGAGCCCAGGAGGCGGAGGTTGCGGTGAGCCGAGATCACGCCCTTGCACTCCAGCCTGGGTAACAAGAACGAAACTCCGTCTCAAAAAAAAAAAAAAAAAAAAAAAAAAAAGAAAGAAAAAGAAAAAATTCAATTATTATTTATTATTTATTTTTTTGAGACAGATTCTTGCTCTGTCGCCCAAGCTGGAGTGCAATGGCACGATCTTGGCTCACTGCAACCTCTGCCTCCTGGGTTCAAGCAATTTTCCTGTCTCAGCCTCCCAAGTAGCTGAGATTACAGGTACCCACCACCACACCCAGCTAATTTTTTGTATTTTTAGTAGAGATGGGGTTTCACCATGTTAGCCAGGCTGGTCTCAAACTCCTGGCCTCAGGTGATCCACCTGCCTTGGCCTCCCAAAGGGCTGAGATTACAGGTGTGAGCCACTGTGTGCCTGGCCAAAATCAATTATTATTTATGGAAAAAGTTACTTCTGGTTTAGATAATTTCAAACTGAGATATGCAAACCCCAGGTGGTCTGTGATGTGTGAGTGAGAGGACTGGAAACCACAAGGGAACCAGGTGTAGTAACCAGGGATACAGTTTTTATTCAGTTTTATTTTGGTGGTGGGCTGGGGAGTATGGGTGATTATATTCTGATATTAAACCAAACACAGATATGTATTACTGAATACATACAACCTATTCATACAAAATTTGAGATGAATTCTGAGCTTTGGGTTCACCTTTGGGTTCACTGCCTTTACCTTTCCGTGATACCCCATTTCAGGATCTCCAGAGGTTCTAGGTTGGAAATGTTTGAAAAGCACTGCTCACGTTTCAGGAAGTCTGAGGGCCAAGAAAATGATGTACTGTTACCTGAGCCTGGGAAGGAAGGCAATGCAGGCACATGTATTTGCTGTGCATAACTTACATGCAACACTGATAGAGAGGGGCAAGAATGCTTCTTTCATCCAGCGAGGGGTTCCCAAAGCTGAAAATTAAATTAAAATTTAGTGAATTAGGTGGAAGTACCATTCTCTTCTTAGCATCAAAGTAATAGCAAATTCTATATGGAACTCAAATGTGATCCTAGACAATTTCACGCTCCAGCAGCTCAAATCACTTAAATTGAAAAGAAGCAGGGCATGACCAATTAGACACAGGATCCCTAACAGCTTGTACTAAAATATCTGAAAACAAATATACTTATTTACAAGGGACCTTTTCCTGCCAAGATATTACAAGGTGCTGGAGCATAACTATGGTAAACACAGTGTGGAGTTCATAGACCAAGGGAGAACTTGAAGATCCCTAAGGCTGAAAAGGTTTTAAGGAGTAGGGAGAGAAATAAAGGCCATTTATATTAGATTCCCACAAACAAGCAGAAGACCATTACTTGTAAAAAGAAGGTCACACTTGTTCTACTCCCAAATTAGCAATATCCTATTCCCTACAAGTAAGTATATATACAGATTCAAATTGGAAAAACTGTTCACAGGCTAAGGAAACTGACTCACAGCAGATGCAAAAATTACCTAAGCAGCAATTCAGAGTCAGAAAAGAAGAAATGATTCTGGAAAACTGTCAACCTTTCACTCTGTTACCAGGGGCTCACCTTAACAGCTGGAGTCTGGTAGCCTTAGTACAGTGCAGGTCCTCCGGTAATGCAAGGCAAAGGAAACTGCTATGGCCTGAATGTCTGTGTCCCCCTCAAACTTGTAATCCCCAGGGCAACAGTATTAAGAGGCAGTGCCTTTGGGAGATGATTAAGTCATGAGGGAAGAGCCCACATGAACGGGATTAGTACCCTTATAAAAGAGGCCAGAGGGAGCGTGTGTACCTCTTCTGTCATATGAGGACACATAGTAGGCACCATCTGAGGATCAGGCCCTCACCAGACACTGAATCCGCTGGCACCTTGATCTTGGAATTCCCAGCCTCCAAAACCGTAAGCAATACATTTCTGATGCTTATGAATTACCCAGTCTAAGGTATTTTGTTATAGCAGCCCGAATGGACAAAGCAACTATTTTGATATACACCAAATATCAAATATCATGTGTATCACAGTATGAGTGTTACATGCTTTGCCATAGTGGGGTAGAGAGAGGGGTAGTGTTTCCTGGTCTTTCATTTTCTGTGGCCATCACCATCTTTCACGAAGCACAAGGCACCTGATATTCAGTATAAGATGGTGGCATCGGCTGGGCATGGTGGCTCATACCTATAATCCCAGCACTTTGGGAGGCTGAGGCAGGTGGATCACAAGGGTCAGGAGGTTGAGACCAGCCTGGCCAAAATGGTGAAACCCCATCTCTACTAAAAATACAAATATTAGCTGGGCACAGTGGCGGGCACCTGTAACCCCAGCTACTCAGGAGGCTGAGGCAGGATAATCACTTGAGCCCAAGAGGCAGAGGTTGCAGTGGGCTGAGAGAGTACCACCACACTTTAACCTGGGGGACAGAGCAAGACTCCATCTAAAACAAAACAAAAACAAACAAACAAACAAACAAAAAAGATGGTGGCATCATTAGCAAATGCTGCCTAAGCACTCTTTGCTGAAGAGCCATGTCTTAGCTTATTTCAGCTTATTTCCAACAACCAATGAGCCAATGTTAACAGTAATGACCTAGGGCCTGGAAAATTCTAGACTCCAAGGAAGCATTTTATTTAGCAAGTATTTATTAAATGCAACTAAAAGTGTGACACTATGCCTATAATCCCAGGACTTTGTGAGGCTGAGGCAAATGAACTACTTGAGGCCAGGAGTTCAAGACCAGACGGGCCAACATGGTGAAACCCCATCTCTACTAAAAACACAAAATTAGTGGATGCCTGTAGTCCCAACTACTCAGGAATTTGAGGCTGGAGAGTCACTTGAACCTGGGAGGCAGAGGTTGCACTGAGCTGAGATCGTGCCACTGCACTCCAGCCTGGGCGACAGAGTAAGACTCTGTATCAAAAAAAAAAATAAATGTGTGGCATTAAACTGGCTACCATGGAGAATGCAGAGTGCGAAATGGAAATATGATGTGCTCTCCAAATAGCTCAGGCCTAAAAAAATAAGGACATTCTATTTATTCAAAATGAATAAACTTTTCTTATTCAAGATAAAAGTAACTCATCTTTATATATCAAAACCACACTAGGCAACTGCTCTTCTTCCCATGATAGCAGAAGTATGGCCTAGACTAAAATAAAAATAGCAAAACATCCTATCAGATAAATTAATTTTTAATTGCATGAACGTTTGAATAAATTTAATAACAGATTCATACTCCATTACATCTGTATCTCTCAAACTTCTAAACATCAAATATCATAGCCAAGAAAGAATGATGTAGGTAGTAACAAGTGAATGACCTTGGTTTCCAGTTGTCTGAGAAGAGGCTCACAGAGTCTTAGACTACTTGGAAAGAATCACTTTTCCAGTTTTTGAAGTACTGAGATTCCTGAGAGTGGAGAGAAGGACAGGTACCAAGAGCAAAGACTTTAAGTGGAAGAAAGAAAGACGCCATCTATCAACGGTGTTCTGGATGTTTTCCAGGATGCTCTGGAAAAAGCCCTTCTTTCAGACACAGAAACCCCTCCCTGAAAAGGACAGTCCTGCTGGTCTCACCTTTTGGCATTATCAAGAAGGATGAGCATACTAGCGCCCTCATCATCTTGAAAGCTCTCATAGTGATGGCGATCAGCATTGCCAATCAGGTAATCAAAGACAGCTGTGTCAATGATGTCCAAGAGGCGCGGGCCAGAGTCATAAGGGGACGTTTTCTTCACAGCATCACAGTAGCTCTCATCATACTCCCACCTGGAGATAAGCAGCATCACCAGCACTGAGTGTCAACACTATACCTGGCACTGTTACACATAAAGAAAAGACGGAGTTCCTACCTACTGGGTTTGCCCCTGAGTCCACAGTTCTTTTTACTCTTGGACAGAACTGCTGTATCCTATACAGAGTTGGCACCTGGCTAGGCACAGGGGAGAATTAAGTAATGGCTCATAAGAGCATTTACCTGGCCAATTTGCCTTCTCGGTAAGTCCTGCCCCATGGGTGACGGTGTTTCTGCAGAGGCCACACATCTGGAAGCCAAAGTGTGACAGATCCCTCCATTGTGTCTCCATCAGCACAAGCGGGTTCTGTTTCTCGGCAGTAATAGCACTTCCCATAAAAACAAGTATTGTTTCCTACGGGACAGAAAGGAGCCAAATACACTTAAGGAAATAATGAAGACTCCAAATTCTCTCCCAAATAATGCAGAACAGAGGAGTTAAGTAAATAGACATGGTGAACACAAAGACCCTGAATTTACTATATTTTAAACATTTATTTTCTTGTATAGATAATATAATAAAAAATCACATGATGTAAAAAAAAATTCAAAAAGTACAAAAGGATATACACCCGAAAGTAAGTTGCTCTTGCCTCCTGTGTTCTTTCTACTCAGTCTCTCTGGCGTCAACTACCATCCCCAGTATCTTTCTGAATTCACTTTTGTTTGTTTTGTTTTTGTTGTTGTTATTTTGAGACAGGGTCTGGCTTTGTCATTCAAGCTGGAGTGCAGTGCGTGATCTCAGCTCACTGTAACCTCTGCCTCTGGGGCTCAAGGCATCCTTCCATCTCAGCTTCTTGAGTAGCTGGGACTAAAGATACATGCCTCCACACCTAGCTGATTTTCGTATTTTTCTGGTAGAGATGGGGTTTTGCCATGTTGGCCAGGCCGGTCTCAAACTCCAGGATTCAAGTGATCTGCCTACCTCAGTCTCTCAAAATGCTGGCGTTATAAGCGTAAGCAACCATGTCCAGCCTCCAAACTCACTATTTTATTTTTTTTGGAGACTGAGTCTTGCTCTGTTGCCCAGGCTAGAGTGCGGTGGCATGATCTCAGCTCACTGCAACCTCCACCCCCAGGTTCAAGTGATTCTTCCGCCTCAGCCTCCTGAGTAGCTGGGATTACAGGTGTGTGCCACTATGCCTGGCTAACTTTTGTATTTTTAGTAGAGACAGGGTTTCACCATGGTGGCCAGGCTGGTATCAAAGTTCTGACCTCAGGTGATCTGCCCACCTCAGCCTCCCAAAGTTGTGGGATTACAGGTGTGAGCTACCATGCCCAGCCTGAACTCACTTTAATTAAAGGAAAGCAATGTACTTCTCTTCTTCATTAGGGCTGAGATCTTGACCAGAGTGCTCAGGGGAGGGTAAAAGAGGTTATGTACTAAGCCAAGTGTGGCCAAGAGTTTAGTTACATAGAGGCATAGGGATAGAGGAAGGGGGAAAGTTGAGAAATAAGTAGGCAGACTGAGTGCACCAGGAACCAGGCTTCTCACCAGTGGAGAAGAGAGTTAAACATACACAAAGAGAAAAAGCCAGAATAAATCCTGCAGTGGTGAATTAGAATTGGAAATACTAGTTTGCATTGATGGTTTTAATATACACAGATACAAAAAAAGATACAAGTATATCTTTATGTATGTACCTGCACATATACATATACATACATATATTTCCCACCTCTGTCCTTCAAGAGACTGTGGAAACAATGACACCCAGGAAGTAACGAGCACACCTAGAACCCACATGTTAGTTCCTAAATACCATTTTAATACCACATTAAAAGGAACTAGGGTTCCTTGAAGAAACAGCTGACTTCAGGTCTGGGTTAGGGAAAGTACAAGATGAGCCTGGACTAGTGTTATATCAGTTGCAAGGAAGTGCTTGGAGAATGATGAGACCATTCCAAAATGACACAGGAGCTAGTCTGTAGGGGTTCCCACTGGCCAAATGTGGAACAGTTTAAGCATCCAAATAATTATAATGGTAATAAATTGTAGCTCATAGTGAGTTCATGGCGATAAAAACAAGTAAATGAATGTGTGGAGACAGGGGAGCTGTACCCTTCAACAGAATGACAACTAATAGGTCTAGAAGCAATGATAGAATGAAAAAAATCATCATTTGGTGGCTAGGAACTGTGGCTCATATCTGTAATCCCAGCACTTGGCGAGGCTGAGGGAGAAGGATCACTTGAGCCCAGGAATTTGAGACCAGCATGGACAACACAATGAAACTTTGTCTCTATAAAAATAAAAACATTATCCGGACATGGTGGTGCACACCTGTAGTCCAAGCTGCTCAGGAGGCTGAAGTAGGAGGATTGTTGAGACCAGGAGGTTGAGGCTACAGTGAGCCATGATTGTGCCACTGCACTCCAGCCTGGGTGACAGAGTGAGACCCTGTTTCAAAAAAAAAAAACAAAAAAAATCCAAAAATCATCATTTGATGATACTACTGAGAGAAAGCATTAAAAAAACAAAACTCATCATTTGGCAACTACTATAAGAAGTGAATTCCTGATCACTTGAGGTCAGGAGTTTGAGACCAGTCTGTCCAACATGGCAAAACCCCGTCTCTACTAAAAATACAAAAATTACCCAGGAGTAGTGGTGTGCACCTGTAATTCCAACTACTCGGGAGGGTGAGGCAGCAGGATCGCTGGAACCTGGGAGGCAAAGGCTGCAGTGAGCCGAGACTGCACCACGGCACTCCAGCCTGGGTGACAGAACAAAACACTATCTCAAAAAAAACCAAAAATTTTTTTTTAGAAAGAAAATTTATATCTCATGTTACAAAAGACTATAATCTCCCTAGGGATAAACTCCCGTACATCAATAAGACCAATGACACAGCAGAAAATGAGCAAAGAATATGCAAAGACAGTTAACAGAAAATACAAATAGCTCTCAAACAAAAAGATGCTACATATGAAATACATAAAATCAAAAGTTTAGTAAAATACTGTTGGTGAAGCTAGGAGAAAGAGTCACTCTCATATATTTCTATGGGAATATAAACTGGTGAATATAGGATAATGTGGCCACACTTATCAAAATTTCTCAACTGTGAAATGCATGTGCCCTTTGACCTAGCACTCCCTTTCTAGAAATATTTGCTTATATGTGAAATAACATGTATCAGTGGTGCCCAACGTTTTTGGCACCAGGGACTGGTTTTGTGGAAGACAATTTTCCACAGACAGGGGTTGGGGCTGGGTGGGAATGGTTTCGGGATGTAACTGCTCCACATCAGATCATCAGGCATTAGATTCTAACAAGGAATGCGCAGCATAGATCCTTCACATGTGCAGTTCACAATAGGGTTTTTGCTCCTATGAGAATCTAATGCTGCCACCGATCTGACAAGGAGGTGGTGCTGAGGCGGTACTGCTTGTTCACCCCTCACCTCCTGCTGTGCGGCCTGGTTCCTACTCATGCCACAGACTGGTACTGTTCCGCAGCCCGGGGAACATATATACAAGGTAATTCTGGGCAACACTGGTTGTAAAAGCAAAATACTGGAACAACATATAAGTCCAATAAAATTCTGGTTATATGAATTACGGGAGACTCAAATAATGGAACACTTTGCAGTGGGTAAAACAAAAGAATGAAGCTCTTTGTATGTGATACGGATTTCTAGGATATATTATGTAAAAAGAGTAAGATGTGAAAGTATGCGAAGTATGCCATATATTGTATAAAATGGTAGAGATAAATAAAAGTATATATTCACATTTCATACAAAAAGACATAAGGAGGCCAGGCGTGTTGTCTCACACCTGTACTCCCAGCACTTTCGGAGGTCGAGGCAGGCAGATGACGAGATCAAGCATTTGAGACCAGCCTGGCCAACGTGGTGAAACTCCATCTTTACTAAAAATACAAAAATTGGCCGGGCACGGTGGCTCAAGCCTGTAATCCCAGCACTTTGGGAGGCTGAGGCGGGTGGATCACGAGGTCAAGAGATCGAGACCATCCTGGTCAACATGGTGAAACCCCGTCTCTACTAAAAATACAGAAAATTAGCTGGGCATGGTGGCGCGTGCCTGTAATCCCAGCTACTCAGGAGGCTGAGGCAGGAGTATTGCCTGAACCCAGGAGGAGGATGTTGCGGTGAGCCGAGATCGCGCCATTGCACTCCAGCCTGGGTAACAAGAGCGAAACTCGGTCTCAAAAAAAAAAAAAAAAAAATACAAAAATTAGCCAGGCACGGTGGTGTTGCACCTGTAATCCCAGCTACTTAGGAGGCTGAGGCAGGAGAATGGCTTGAACCCGAGAATCGGAGGTTGCACTGAGCCAAGACTGTACCATTGCATTCCAGCCTGGGTGACAGAGCAAGACTTTATCTCAAAAAAAAAAAAAAGACATAAGGAAATTGCTAATTAGAGGTTGCCACTTGGAGAAAGGGGAAGGAACTGGACAGACAAGAAACTGTATTTCACAGAAACTTTTTTTTTTTTTTTTAGACGGACTCTTGCTCTGTCACCCAGGCTGCAGTGCAGTGACATGATCTCAGCTCACTGCAACCTCCGCCTCCTGGGTTCAAGTGATTCTCCTGCCTCAGCCTCCCAAGTAGCTGGGATTACAGACATGCACCACCACCCCCGGCTAATTTTTGTATTTTTAGTAGAGATGAGGTTTCACAATATTGGCCAGGCTGGTCTTGAACTCCTGGCCTCATATTGGTGTCAGCCTCCAAAAGTGCCAGGATTACAGGTGTGAGCCACCTAGCCCAGCCTGAATTTCCCTGAATTTTGAATTGTGTGAATCCATTACTGATTCAAAAAAAAATTTAAAGCCCCCAAACAAAATACTGCTTGGTGTAGAAAACCTGTTTCCTACAGGATAAAATCCAAACTCTTGAGTTTGGTAAATAAGAATCTTCATCATTGGTGTATCTGCCTCTAGGGAACAGGAAAAAAAAAAAAAAAAAAAGAATCTTCATCATTGGAAGGGAGAATGTGGGGTCTGGGGTCAGGTTCCTGGGGTTAACATATAGACTAATCATGAGACTGCAAGACTCTGGGCATGTAATTTAGTCTTTCTACGCATCTTCTGTAAAATGGAGACAACAACAGTACCTCCTCCACCTCCGAGCTGTGTAGAGGAAATGAGGCAATCTATGGCAATGCTTAGCACAGTGCCTGACGTACTGTCAAACACCGTTCGACACCAGTTACTTATTTTAATAACATGGTTTAATCTGCCTTTCCAGAGTTCAATATCCCCATTTCAGTGCCATGAGCTGAGGCTCTGAACCTCTACTTCCCAGATTACCAAGCTTTTAAAAACGAGTTTTCTGATCACCTCACTCTCCATGCTCTCCTTGGGTGAACTACCAACTGTGACAATAACATGGCTTTCGCCAAGCCTTTTCTCCTCAACTGTAATCTTTAGCTCCTAAATGATTAGTCTACACTTACTCCTGGATGTTCCTGTCAAGGAAACAAAATATCCAAAATTAAATTCATTATCTTTCTCTGCTCCACCTCCCTAAATATGCTCCTTTCCGTACATTTCTAAAATAGTTAACAGCTCCTCTAATCACCTGTCATTCAATCCAGAAACCTACGAGTCATTCTTAATTTTTTCTTCTCTCTCAGTTGCTCTCCCAGCCCAAATGTTCACCAAATTCTTTCCATTCCAATTCTTGAATAGCTCTTAAATCTTTCTATTCCCTGTCCCAGCTTTAGTTCTGTCTCTTATTACATATGAATTCACAACAGTCCCAGCGTGCTCTCAGCTCTTGATTCTCCCCTTCCCACTGCGCCCCTGACAATGCTGCCACAATTCGCTCTTGAAATTCAAATCCGATTTTTCCACATTCGAACTCTTTTAATAGCTTTTCAGTGTCTGAAGGGAAAGTCTCGACTCCTAAGCATGGTACACAGGCCCTTCAGTGACACTGTCCTGACCAGCTGTCTTCCTCACTGGCCAGCCCCACACACCCTTTCCTTAGTTAACTGGCATAGTCTCTTGAACTTGTTGCTCTTCTTTCACTGCTCATCGCCCTTGTCCATGCTCTGTCCTCTCTCTGGAATGGGGTCAACTCATAGGGCCTGTGAGCTGGATAGGAACAAAATTACATCTTTATTTTCACTAACTTCTACTAAAACTTAGCATTTCCTTCCATTATGATGGCAGGGAGCAAACTATCATGTTTGCATTACCTGTGACTTTGTCTCTACAAGAAATCACAGATTTTTCATATCATACTAGCATTGTTGCAGATAATCTCAAAATACTATTTATAGTTTGAAATCACAGTAGTGACTAATCTGTGCCAGATCTTAACGTCTTAAATAACAAAGCACATATTACTGTATCCAAATTTGCTTTTTATAATTTTTGATACTGAAATTATACTTCAGTATTATTGGTTTCATTTATAAGCCTATGTATTTTAAATTATGTATGTATTTAAAACCTTTATTTTCAGAAAGGATCCATAAGCTTCTCCAGACTGCCGAAGGTATCTATAGCACAAAAAATGTTAAACGCAAACCTAAAATGTTCTTTCCCACTGTATCTACCTGATGGACTGCTGTTTTCCCTTTAAGTCTTGGTTAAAATATCACCTTCACCAATTAACTATCACCCTGGCCATAACTTGTAGGCCACCTCCCTATTGCTCCCTCACCCCCACCCCCACCCTCCATCGGTCATTTGTACTTGTCCGGTTCCCCCATTAGACAAAGATCCTTGAAGATAAGAAGGTCATTTGGTTTTGCTATTCAGCACCTACCTCAGCGCCTGTCAAAAAGAAGTGAAATAAAGTTGTACTGAATAAATAAATATAAAACACTATAAGCTAATGAAAGATGTAGAGTCTTAAAACCTGGGTTTGGATCCTGGCTAACAATTAGTAGCTTTGAGATTTGGAGAAAGTCATTAGACACTTCTAAGCCTTCATTCTCAGGTACAAAATGCGAGTAACACCTCAACTACTTATTGCATGCTATTGTCAAGAGGATCTGATAAAGTAACAGTGTGAACATATTTGGGTATGTTGCTGGGGCTACATAGAATTCAGTTATTCTTGCATTATATACCAACTTAATAATACATTTAAAAACTGCATCAAGAGAATGAAACGACAAGTTATATGTCTGAAGAAAATGTTTTCTGTTTTTTCTTTTTTGTCTTGTTCTGTTGCCCTGGCTGGACTGCAGTGGCATGATCTCAGCTCACTGCAACCTCTGGCTCCCGGGTTCAAGCAATTCTGCCTCTGCCTCCTAAGTAGCTGGGATTACAGGTATGTGCCACCATGCCTAGCTAATTTTTGTGTTTTTAGTAGAGTCAACGTTTTTGCCATGTTGGCCAGGCTGGCCTCGAACTCCAGACTTCAGGTGATCTGCCCACCTTGGTTTCCCAAAGTGCTGGGATTACAGGCATGAGCCGCTGCGTCCAGCTGGAGAAAATACTTTTTTTGTGTGTGTGTGTGTGAGACAGAGTTTCGCTCGTTACTCTCAGGCTGGAGTGCAATGGCGCGATCTCGGCTCACCGCAACCTCCGCCTCCTGGGTTCAAGGCAATTCTCCTGCCTCAGCCTCCTGAGTAGCTGGGACTACAGGCATGCACCACCATGCCCAGCTAATTTTTTGTATTTTTCGTAGAGATGGGGTTTCACCATGTTGACCAGGATGGTCTCGATCTCTTGACCTCGTGATCCACCCGCCTCGGCCTCCCAAAGTGCTGGGATTACAGGCTTGAGCCACCGCGCCCGGCTTAGAAAATACTTTCAAAAGACACATCTGACAAAGGACTGTTAGCCATACTACACAAAGAACTCCTAAAACTTGGCAGTAAGAAAACAACTAACTTAACTTAAATATGAGCCAAAGACCTTAAGAGACACCTCAACAAGGTACAAGGAAGGCAGATAAACATATGAAAAGATGCTCTACATTATATGTCATCACCAAGATGCAAACTAAAACAATGAGATACACCTACTAGAATGGTCAAAATCTAAAATATGACATCAAATGTTGCCAAGGATGAGGAGCAACAGGAACTCTGACTCCTTGCTGGTGGGAATGCAAAATGGTACAGCCACTTTGGAAGACAGTTTGGCAGTTTCTTACAAAACTAAATGTACTCTTACCATATGATGCAGAAATCATACTCCTTGATATTTACCCAAAACAACTGAAAACTTACGTCAAAACAAAAAGCTATATGTTTACAGCAGCTTTACTCACAATTGCGCAAACATGGAAGCAACCAAGATTTCATTCAATAGGTAAATGGAGTATCAGACTGTGGCACATCGACAATACAATGTTAGTCAGCAATAATAAGAAATGAGAAATCAAACCATGAAAAGACATGGAGAAACCTTAAATGTATATTACTAAGTGAAAGAAGCCATTCTAAAAAAGCTATATACTGTGATTCAACCATGTAGCATTCCGGAAAAGGCAAAATTATACAGACAGTAAAATGATCAGTGGTTGCAAGGGGATTGGAGAGGGATGGAGAGAGATGAACAGGTGGAACACAGAGGATTTTTTGACCAGTGAAAATACTCTGTGTGATACTATAATGATGTATACGTGTCATTATATATTTGTCCAAACCCACAGAATGTGCAACACCAAGACAGACCTCTAATGTAAACCATGGATTCTGGGTGATTATGATGTGTCAATGTGGGCTCGTCAGTTCAAACAACTGTACCGCTGTGACGTGGGATGTTGATAGTGGGGGAGACTATGTATGTGTGGGGCAGGGGTTATTTGGGAAATCTCTGTACCTTCCTCTCAGTTTTGCTGTAAACCTAAAACTGCTCTAAAAACAATAAAGTCTTAAAAACACAACAATAACAATAAGGTTATGTTAAGGTCAGGTGATTATTAAAAATTTTACCTCCAGCCAAATCGCTCTACCTGCCCTGTTCCTTTCCGGTCTTTATGCTCTTGTTCCTATTAATATTCCTGTTATTTTGCCAATGCCCTTTCCTCTTTGCTGCCTTGGTAAATCATACTACTTCTTCAATACTCAGTTCAAGTGTTAACAACCTCCTCTGCAAACCTTCTGCCTCTTCCTTCCTCACACTTTGAACAATGTAAGAGTTAACCTTCCGCGAGCCTTTGACGAGCAAGCACCTTGGCTTATTCTTCTCGACCTCTTTCCCTCAATCCCAGCACCCACCAGAAATTAATTCATGTTTGCTGAGCATAAAACTGAACAACCAAAGGTGATTAGAAAGTATCTGACACAAACAAATATCTGATACAATATTTAACACCGTACGCTTTTGGTTATCTGTAAGAAAAGTACAGCCCAAGCCTTATAAATTGAAATTCTGAATGATGAATCTGACATAAGTTCTTTTTTCCCTCATTTTAAATGTAAATCCACTCCCTCTAACAAAAAGCAAAGTGAAGTTTATCTTGTAATGTCTGTTTCAACAGTCACACCCTAATGCAGAGCACTGTATCACTGAAAAAGAGCCAAGTGGAAACAAGAAACTACAGCACTTCTGAATTCTTCCCATTCTCACCTTGCTCACAAGGAGAATAGGAGTGAGAATTTTAGGTCAGATCTCTTACCTCAGAGTTAAGATAATGGAAAACAGAGGCCAGGGGCAATGTAGCCAGTTCAGGAACAATGAGTTATAGGTTAACCCTTAAGGAAGCAGTAGGCCTGTTGATCTTCCAGGTCCAAATACAACCGTACAAAAGAATTTCTGGACCTCCTAAAGAGGTGCCTTAAGATTTCCTCAATTTCAAGGAGACAGGAGACAGTTCCCAAGAAAACACATGTATATATAAAAACAACTGAGCCAATGATATACAAACAATAACCAATTTAGGCCAAATTCTGAGTTTGAGACTTATTAATAGCTCTAAGAGAAAGCAGAATGAAGTAATCACCTGCTTTCACTATCACTAAATGACCTCACTTCCTATGTCACAGACACAAGAGTACACAGGAAAATTTCAATTTCCTGCCATCTCCTTTAGATTCATTTTCCCAAATAACCTGAGAGCTGTTCTTGGATTTGCTTTTGTATTCCCTTGAGTTCTTCAATTCCTAAAAGTCATGAGCCAGCTCGCTCAACAATGCCCCATTTTAACTTATTAATCATTCCCCTATCTAAACGGCCTCTACAGTCTTCTTACCTACAGTTAGGAAGGTGCTCAACAGCTGCTCCGTGGCAACAGGTTTGATCTCTGTCCGAAGATTAACAAATCTGCCAACCACCAAGGGGGCTCGGCGGAAACCCAGAATCCTGGTTTGGAAGATTGAAGAACAGAAGAGAAAAACATTAGGGCATTTTTTTTTTTTTTTTTTTTTTTTTTTGAGACAGAGTTTCACTCTTGTTACCCAGGCTGGAGTGCAATGGCGCGATCTCGGCTCATAGCAACCTCCGCCTCCTGGGTTCAGGCAATTCTCCTGCCTCAGCCTCCTGAGTAGCAGGAATTAAAGGCACGTGCCACCATGCCCAGCTAATTTTTTGTATTTTTAGTAGAGACGGGGTTTCACCATGTTGACCAGGATGGTCTCGATCTCTTGACCTCGTGATCCACCCACCTCAGCCTCCCAAAGTGCTGGGATTACAGGCTTGAGCCACCGCGCCCGGCCTAGGGGATGTTTTTTAAGTAACAGTCTTAAAAATTACAGTTCATCATGTCAAATGTGTGACGGGTTTTAGCTAGTAGGTAAAGCTAATTTTTTAGAGATAGATATATTTAGGAATTTAATGTCACAAGGAGTGTGTAATTTATTTTAATATACACTTTAGCAAAATGGATAAGGCAAATGTGATAAAATGTGAATAACTGTTAAATCTACAGAGCAGGTATATGGGCTCCTTATACTTGGCTCCTTATACTATTCTTTCTACTTTTGTATGTTAGAAATGTTTTCATAATAAAAATTAAAACTCGATTTTAGGAAAGCATTAGAAAAAAGATGGGACCCAAACACACATATGGGTTCAAATCTTTAAGTAAAACAGCACACTGGTTAAAAAAAAATGCAGACTGATCTAAAAGGATAAGCTCACAGAGCAAATTAAATACAGAGACATTTGAAAACATCTTTAATAATCTAAAAGGTTGAAAACAATAATTTATTTTTAAAAAATGAAATCTCCTGGCTAAAAAAATACACACTAACTGAAAAAAAAGTTGGAGGGGCAGAATTTGGAACAAACAGAAAATTTATAATGAAGAAAATAAAAATCACCTATAATTCCCAACCCAGAAATAATGATAGGCACTGACATTTTGGCATATAAGCATGTTTTCCTTTTAAGTGTACACACACTTACACTTATTAAATACATACAATTGAAATTATATTGCATGCAGTTTTGTATCTTGCTTTTTACTCATCTTGCATCATGAACCTTTCCCCAGTCGTTAGAAAGCCTTTACAAATGGCTACCGCTTGGGGCCGCCGATTCTGTCCTAAACCCAGTCTTAGAAAAGCCACAAAAGCATGGTATGTCAAAATAAACAGACATGTCAAAATAGCATGGACATCCAGAGATCCCACCCTGAGGCAAGGGAAGGTGGTTAAATCTGAATGTAATGAAGAAACAGCAACCCAAAGCGGAAAAGTATCAGGATCCATTAATGAAAAAGGTGGGGGAGGGGTTTTTTGGTGTGGTTTTTTTTGTTTGTTTGTTTGTTTGTTTGGCTGGTTGGTTAAGAGTCTCACTCTGTTGTCCAGGCTGGAGTGCAGTGGCACGATCATAGCTCCCTGCAGCCTGGAAATCCTCGGCTCAAGCGATCCTCTCACCTCAGCTTCCCCGGTAGCTAGGACTACAAACACATGCCTAGATTGGGAAGCATTTTTTCTCTCCATTGACAACTGCCAAGTCAAAGAACAGCAGCCAGGTTAGGACTGAGGGGCAATGTTACTGTGGCATTTCAGGCTGGCTACAGTGGCATTTAACAAAAGTGAAAGGGTAACTGACCAGAAAACATCTTTCAGACTCTGAAGTAGGGAAGTACTTTTAAATACAAGATTCCCAAAGCACAAGTCACAAACTGAAACATTATCATTAATTAACATCAAAAGTACACAAACACTCTAACAAACAGGTGTCCTGCTGTGAAAAGATAAAACTTGGCCAGTAATGGGGAAACACAAAATAACAATGAGTATCACTTTACATATATATCAACAAAACATAAGGTATTGGGTAATACAAAACACTGGTACAGAAATGAGGAAATTTATGCCTGCTAGTGTCCAACAAACAGGACAGGAGGAAGGGGTTTCGGGATGAAGAAAAGAAGCAAACAGATAAGGTCTTGGAAAGCCTCATCTAGTATGCCATTAAGTGAGGAGTAGGATTTATCCAACTGTTCACTACTAGGTCTTAAAAGAGGCAGCAAAAATTCATGGTATTGTATACATGTATCTAAACTTTTCTGTATCAACAGGTGTTTAGGTTACAACCAATTTTTCACTATTGAAAATGCTTACAGCTACGACTGTTGTATATATATTTTTGAATTTTGTATTCTTTCTCTAGGGTACTTCCTAGAAATGCCCTAGATATGTGTATTAAAAAGCAGTTATTTGTTCAAAGGATATGAACATTAAGGTTTTTGATAAATAATACTAGGGTTCTTAACAAAGAGACTGAAATAATTGACAATGTCATAAGCAACATATGAATCTTAATGTATTCTTGCCAATAAAGGGTTATCTTTTTTTAAGCTTTGCCATTTTCAACAAGTAAAAACAGTATCTCATTGTTTCATCCGAATTTTTAAAAATTTCTGGTGAGGATGAACTCCCTCTCCCCATATTTATTAGCAATTGATAACGCATGTGCTCTTAATCTATTTTCTAAGAGAGTTTTTAAACATATATATATATATATATATATATGAATTTGTATAAACACATTAAGGCTATTAATACTCAAATTACGTTAGATTCAAGTGCTTTCTCCTAGTTTGCTGTTTGCTTTTAAATTTTGTTTGCTATTTCTTGATATATAAGTTCATTATTTTATTTAGTCAAGTCTACTGAATTTGCAATTTTTAAGTTATATTTACAAAATCCTAATTCAGAAAAAGACAAACATTTCACCTTTCTTTTTTGGTTTCCTCATAAATTCATTTTAGGCTGGGCTAGTGACTTACACCTGTAATCCCAGCACTTTGGGAGGCTGGGGCGGGTGGATCACCTGGGGTCAGGAGTTCCACACCAGCCTGGCTAACATGGTGAAACCCCGTCTCTACTAAAAATACAAAAAATTAGCCGGGTGTGGTGGCGTGCACCTGTAGTCCCAGCTACTTGGAAGGCTGAGGCAGGAGAATTGCTTGAACCCAGGAGGTGGAGGTTGCAGTGAGCCAAGATGAGGCAACTGCACTCCAGTCTGGAGGGCAGAGTGAGACTCTCTCAAAAAAACTTTTTAAATTTTATTATTTTATTTTATTTTATTGAGACAGGGTCCCACTCTGCTGCTAGGCTGGAGTGCAATGGCTTGATCACAGCTCACTGTAGCTTCTGCCTCCCAGGCTCAAGATCCTCCCTCCTCACCCTTCCCACTAGTTGGAACTACAGGTACACATCACCACACTCAGCTAATTTTTGTTATTTTTTTAGTAGAGATGGGGCTTCATGATGTTGCCCAGGCTGGTCTTGAACTCCTGGACTCAAGTGATTCACCCACCTCAGCCTCCCAAGATGTTAGGGTTACAGGCATGAGTCACTGTACCCAGTCATCAATTAATTTTTTTTTTTTTTTTGAGACCGAGTTTCGCTCTTGTTACCCAGGCTGGAGTGCAATGGCATGATCTCGGCTCACCGCAACCTCCGCCTCCTGGGTTCAGGTAATTCTCCTGCCTCAGCCTCCTGAGTAGCTGGGATTACAGGCACACGCCACCATGCCCAGCTAATTTTTTTGTATTTTTTTAGTAGAGACGGGGTTTCACTATGTTGACCAGGATGGTCTCGATCTCTTGACCTCGTGATCCACCCGCCTCGGCCTCCCAAAGTGCTGGGATTACAGGCTTGAGCCATCGCGCCCGGCCAATTAATTTTTAAAACAAATATTGTGAGCAATTTCTTTTAAAGTCTGCTAAGATGGCCTGATGGAAGAGCTGGTCAGAGGAGTAACTGAGATCGTAGACAGTTCAGCTGCAAGGTTTCTGGCTAGCAACCTGCTGAGGAAAAAAAAAAAAGAACTTTCCTAGTTAACTTACAAACTTAGAATTCACATCCCTTTTTTTTTTTTTTTTTTTTTTCAGACAGAGTCTCCCTGTCACCCAGGCTGGAGTGCAGTGGTGCAATCTCGGCTCACTGCAACCTCTGCCTCTGGGGGTTCAAGCAATTCTCCTGCCTCAGCCTCCTGACTAGCTGGGACTACAGGTTCGCACTGCCACGCACAGCTAATTTTTTTGTATTTTAGTAGAGATGGGGTTCCACGTGTTGCCCAGGCTGGTCTCAAACTCTTGAGCTCAGACAATCCGCCTGCCTCAGCCTCCCAAAGTGCTGGGATTACAGGTGTGAACCACTGCACCCAGCCCTTTCCTTTTGGAATTATTCTGGTTTTTGAAGCTGTGCATATTTTATATAAAAGACAATACTACTCATTATATATTTCATGCTGTATGTTTCTAGCACATGGGATAAGTCAGCATTACTTACTTAAAACAAATACATAACAAAATAACAGGATGGCTAGGTCCAATTAATGACTAGTTCAATTCAGAGATTTAAGTTCAAAGTTTATTTACCAAAAATATCTTCACTGATGATAATAACAGCAGGCCAGAAATGAAATGACCTAAAGAAGCCTGGAATTAAAATACTTTAGTATTTCTCGTGCCAACCAAATTATGGGACTCATACAAGTTTAATGGAACTAGTCACTTAGCTATCTAAAAGGGGTAACAAGTCATTTATTAGTGTTGCATCTTTTTGAAAGAGTTCCCAAGTCCTGTTCAAGAAAGAGTTTTGAAAGGAAACAAAATGAAAATAACCTATTCTGATCATACGTACCTGTCCAGGTGAAAGGCTGCTACCTCTGCATTGTGTCTGTCATAACCAGCATACGGTTCCCCTTCCACCACATAGTCTCGGCTATACCTGTAAAGTGAATGGGAAGCACAGATGTATACATGGATTACATCACTAACAGAGGTGACAGCACAAGTGGTAGAATACAAACTTTGGCAAGCCTGATTGTTATAGTCACCTTCTCTGTCAACCATGAGAACAACTGTGGATTAGCATAAATTGCTGGTAGACGCAGTAAAGATGAGGTAGAGAAGGAAACTAGAGTTCTATATCTATGTCAGTGATCATTCTAAGAATAAAACATGGAAGATGTCATTTTTTTCCCCACTAAAGGGCTTCTGATGCAGTTTAAGTACAGATACAAGGTAGTTTTCTGGAAGGCAAGGACTGTCTTTGTATTGCCAGCACAATGTTATTAAGCACATAGTTGGTGCTTTATAAATGTTTACTAAAATGTTTACTAGACTGACCTGAAGAAATTAAGAAAAACATATAATTAAAACTTTTGCTGGCCAGACACAGTGGCTCACGCCTGCAATCCCAGCACTTTGGGAGGCCAAGGTGGGCAGATCACCTGAGGTCAGGAGTTTGGGACCAGCCTGGCCAACATGGTGAAACCCCTTCTCTACTAAAAAATACCAAAATTGCCGGGCACAGTGGCTCACGCCTGTAGTCCCAGCACTTTGGGAGGCTGAGGCGGGTGGATCATGAGGTCAAGAGATCGAGACCATCCTGGTCAACACGGTGAAACCCCGTCTCTACTAAAAATACAAACAAATTAGCCAGGTGTGGTGGCATGTGCCTGTGGTCCCAGCTACTTGGGAGGTTGAGGTGGAAGAATCGCTTGAACCCAAGAGGTGGAAGTTGCAGTGAGTCGAGATTGCGCCATTGCACTCCAGCCTGGTGACAAAGCAAGACTCCGTCCCCAAAAAAAAAAAAAAAAAAACACCAAAATAACAAAATTACCCAGGTGTGGTATTGCATGCCTATAGTCCCAGCTACTCAGGAGGCTGAGGCAGGAGAATCGCCTGAACCTGGGAGGCAGAGCTTGCAGTGAGCCGAGATTGTTCCACTGCATTCCAGCCTGGGTAAGAGAGTGAGAGACTGTCTCAAAAAACAAAAACAACAAAAGAAACTTTCGCTTACTAGACTGGCTGTGGCAAAGCTTGTAAGAGAAGTTTAAATTTGGGGGGAAAATGAAAATGGTCTGATACAACTCAATCTTTGATAACAGGAAGGCAAAGGTGCTTTTGAAAAAAGTTGTTTGAATAACCATTCTTGTTCTTTAAGTTTATGATGACGTAGTAGAAGGAATCCTAGACTGGCAGTGAGAGGTGGGTGTGGCTGTCATTACTTAACTGAGTAAGCTTGAGTAAAACTTTTCTATCCTCTGGGTCTCAGATTCCTTATTTACAATATTAGGGGCTGGACTAGGAGGTAATTTCTAAGGTCTCTTTCATTGCAAACTGCATTCTGATGATTTTATATTATATGCATGACATAAGCAAAGAATAATGAAGACTGGCATATTTTTCCACTAATCATTTTTAAAGATACAATGTAAATCTGTTAATTGGAAAGAAAAAAGTACTTAATTCACCTATGATCTCCAGTGGTCTCCTGCATTTCCTAAATCAAAAGGAGCCCTTTTAGAAGGGACCTATGAAATATAAATAAATTGAGATTGATGTGGAGAAGAGAAATTCCACTAAGGACAGTTGGCTTGTCCATGCTAAAACAGCAACGGGGAAGTAGAAAACAGTACTATAAAAGGCAATGAACTTCAACTTAAATGACCTTAGAATATAAAGTGAAATAATCTCCACAAAATACATCTTCAAGGCAAAATGATGAAGCATCTGTTAGAAGACAGCCATGTATCACCAACCAGTTGGGCACTAGTTTCTTCTTAGCATGGTCAATATGCCAAATTTTTTTTTTTTTTTTTTTTTTTTTTTACTTTTGAGTCTTGCTCTGTTGCCCAGGCTGGAGTGCACTGGCGCGATCTTGGCTCACTACAACCTCCACCTTCTGGGTTCAAGTGATTCTCCCAGTCAGCCTCCCAAGCAGCTGGGATTTCAGGCACCTGCCATCATGCCCAACTAATTTTTGCATTTTTGTAGAGATGGGGTTTCACCATGTTCGCCAGGCTGGTCTTGAACTCCTGACCTTAGGTGATCCACCTGCCTCGGCCTCTCAAAGTGCTGGGATTGCAGGCGTGAACCTCCATGCTTGGCCCCAAATGTTTTTTTTTTTTAATTCCTAGTGGTTTTTTAGGAATAACAAAACAGGTTTATATTAGCTACCTCTAAATTAAAAGTCAAATTTGAAGTATTACTACAGCAAAAAGCTGACTCTATTCAAGTACTGTTCTCTCTACTACAGATGTAGGCTATCTTTGAATGTTTTTAGTACTCCAGAGAAGCCACAGGAAGGTATGTAGTGATTTGCCATACGTTCCTTTCAGAGAAACATTAGAGTTTCCCAATCCATCTAAAGGCTGCTCAGAGTAAAACGCAAGACCTTAGAGGAGCCCAGGTACTCTGGGAGTGGGCTGGAGAGGAAAAGATGGAATAGAAAAGAAATAAGAATCAAAAGAACTGCACTGAAGTCAGGCCTAAATCCTTAGCTCGTATTTTGATTATGTGAAATAGGGAAAGTCATGATTCTGGATCTCATTTTTCTCACCTGTTAAATGAACAACTGGACTAGCTGATCTCCGAGGTCCCTTTCAGCACTTCCTAAGATCCCTCATTCACTTCTACCCTCTCCTAGGCCCCTGCCTTCTTCTCCTTTTTCCAGCATAACTGCCATTTTTGCCTGTGAAGATCAGTTAGTTCCCAAATGGAAGTGGCTACATTGAAAAAAAAAAATTACCTTTACTTATAAGGCAAAATGTGTAAATAAAAGTGTCACTGTATTCCTATATATATTATCTACCTATACTGCACATACCTTGTATCTCTGAGAATAGAACATGGATAGCCAGGCTCCAGAAATGCTGAAACCACAAGTGGCTATTAAAGAAAGGACTTAGATTCTCCTCTTAGCAGAGAGTGATCCATCTTCAGTCAGTGACAGAGCAGCAAAATCCATACAGTAACTGCCAGTAAATCACTCCTATCCTTCTGCTGAAGGACATCAGAGCCTGACCAAGGACATTAATTTGCACTTATACCAGGACTAAACAGTCTCTGAAGCCCTGGGGGTCAGAATGGCATTTTGCTGGGTGTTTGGGGACTGGAGTCAATTTCCGCAAGCACTTAAACTTATACTCACTTTCCCCAGCCTGTGATAGTTCCTGATATAAAGCAGCACAGGTCAGTATGTGCAATGACAAAGAGAGTGAACACCTATGGCAGGGGCCAAAAAAAACCTTGCTGAGTTGGAGAGGAGAGTGGGAGTTTAGGAGATGATGGGGTGGTGGGGGCAGAGTTTGACAGAAACAAAGAACAAAGGAAGAATAAGGCTGAATATAGAAAGGAGGACCAGACAGTCAGGGGCTTGACCTTAGGCTGTGGAGGCTGGGTTTTGTCTGGTTGCCAACAGGAAGTCCCTGGATGTTTTATTTTTGAGATAGAGTCTTGCTCTGTAGCCCAGGCTGGAGTGCAGTGGCACGATCTCGGCTCACTGCAACCTCTGTCTCTGGGTCCTGGTTCAAGCAATTCTCCTACCTCAGACTCCCAATTAGCTGAAGTTACAGGTACGAACCATCATGCCCAGCTAATTTTTGTATTTTTTAGTAGAGACGGGGGTTTTACCATGTTGGCCAGTCTGGTCTTGAACTCCTGACCTCGTGATCCGCCGGCCTCCACCCCGCAAAGTGCTGGGATTACAGGCGTGAGCCACCGTGCCAGGCCATCCCTGCATGTTTTAAAACTGGGGAATATAATGATAATATGAGTCTTCTGGGGAAGAATGGAAGTGGTTTCCAGGATGGTCTGGAGGGGGAAGGTAATGAGAAGGCTGCAGTGCTAGTAAGAGATATAAGATGAAGCAAGCAGTGACTAAGCTTGTGCATTTATCTGTTGCTACCTCCCCCACTCATCAGTCTGGCCTCTCCTCCCTCCACTTATACCTTCTCCAAACATTTCAGGCCTATCCTGCAAAACACCTGGTTTAAAACTGTACATGCCTGGAAATATTTGTCTTCAAACACACTTCCTGCTGTCCCATCTGCCCTTCAATTCTCCAGTGTACAAGTGGTGGGTGAGAAGATCTACTCTTATTTAAACACAAAATGCTCACAACTCATCTCTTTATTTATTTATTTAATTTTATTGTTTTGAGATGGACTTCTGCTCTTGTTGACCAGGCTGGATTGCAATGGAGCATCTTGGCTCATTGCAATCTCTGCCTCCCAGGTTCAAGTGATTCTCCTGCCTCAGTCTCCTGAGTAGCTGGGACTATAGGCACACACCACTATGCCGGACAATTTTTTGCATTTTTAGTAGAGATGAGGTTTCACCATGCTGGTCAGGCTGGTTTCGAACTCCTGACCTCAAGTGATCCGCCTGCCTCAGCCTCCCAAAGTGCTGGGATTACAGGCATGAGCCACCGTACCCGGCCATATCTTTGTATATAAATATAATTTTTGTCTTTAGTTTGCCTTTTTCCATCACTCTGTTTATGCTGCTAATCTCTAAGGCCAAGAAGTCAAAGACCATACTTCAATGTTAAATGCGATATTTTATGATGGTGCCCCAAGTCATCACTTAGGGGAAACAAACATACTTAAAGAATTCCATGTGTGTGGCAGAACACAAGCTGCTTACAACTCTAACAAGTCTGGGTTTGAACTTCTGCACCACTGATTAATGTGAGGTGATCTTGTCAAGTTAGTTACACTCTCTAAACCTCAGTTTCTTATTCTGAAAATAAGAACTGAAATTGTCCACAAGGGTTAAACCTTCCTATAAGGGTTTAAAAGATTAACAGATACAAAAGTACTTAGTGCAATGCCTGGCGTTCAGCAGAAATTAGATTCCAGGCCCACATAACCACTTTTTTCTTTCTTTTTTTTGAGACAGAGTCTCACCAACCCAGGGTGGAAGATAGTGGCAGGACTTGCTGCAGCCTCAAACTCTCACACTCAAGTAATCTTCCCACCCTCCCACCTCAGCCTTCCAAGTAGCTGGGACTACATGCATGCACCACCACGTCCAGCTAATTTTTTATTTTTTGTAGAGACGGGGTCTCATTACTTCAACCCGTCTCAAGTGATCCACCCACCTCAGTCTCCCAAAGTGCTGGAATTACAGGCATGAGCCAGCATACCCAGCCCCAATCAAATTTTTATTCTCTAAATGTCTACCACATTTTTAAGCTTTCCTAATTTCTACATCACTGACACATGTTTCCCAGATCCAGATCAACAGTGATTCCTTCCATTTCTGGGCTCCCTATACATTCATGCTCTGACTGCCGTTTATTTACCAATAGTTGGACGAGAAAGGGAGTTGAATTTTGTACATCTTTTCCCTACATTTCTTTTCCCACTCCAGAAAGAAATCCAAAGGTATGTTTTAATTTTTTCAAAAGCTCTACTGAGGAATGAAAAACATGTTTAGTACACAAAAGATTTCAGACATTACAAACTTTGAGAATATTCATTGGTTAACTACCTCCTGGCAAAAGAATACAAATCACCATCATGATGTTAGCCTATTTCAGATTCAAATACTCAGAAAACATTTTAAAAACATTATGCCCTCCAAGCTGTCTTGAGTAGAGAAATAAATAAATAAAAATCATTAAATGTATCATAGAATCGTCACACACATCATCTCTGTAGATCCCTAGGAAGTCCAAAGGGATCACTAACTACATACATATTTAGTTACTAAGGTAACTAAAATGGCCCAGTTCTTTGCTTAAAACAGGTGAAAGAAACAACGAGAGACCTATGAGATTAGCTATGATCTGAAACACTGACACCAAACCCTGGTGAGGATATGGAGCAATAGGAACTCTCATTCGTTGCTGGTACAAACACAAAATGGTACAGCTACTTTGGAAGACAGTTTAGCAGTTTTTTACAAAATGAAACGTACTCTTACCATGTGGTCCAGCAATTATGCTTCTGGTATCTATCCAAATGAGCTGAAAATTTATGTCCACACAAAAACCTGCACATGGATGTTTATAGCAGCTTTATTCACAATTGCCCAAAGCTTGGAAGCAACCAAGATGTCTTTCAGTAAGTGAATAGATAATTAAGCTGTGGTACCTCTAGACAATGGAATATTATTCAGTGATAAAAAGAAATGAGCTACCATGCCACAAAAAGATATGTAAAAACCTTAAATGTACTTTACTAAATAAAAGCCAGTCTGAACGGGCTACATACTGTGATTCCAATTATATGACATTCAGGAAAAGGCAAAACTATGGAGACAGCAAAAAGACCAATGGGTTACTAGGTGTTCTGGGACAGAGAGGGAAAAATGAGTAAGTAGAGCATAGAGGATTTTAGGGCAGGTAAACTATTCTGTATGATACTCTAAAGGTAGACTCATGTTAAGTGCTAGAAAAGATTTCAGAGATCTAGTCTACCCCTCTTATTTTACTGAAGAGAATTCCAAAGGAAGAAGATGGTAAAATAAATCTTATATAAATCCCAAGTTAAATTAATCAATCAACTACACATACAGCTTCCAAGATGAAAACTTACCGCTTAGGTTTGAAAACAACTTTCTGTCCTCCTTCAAGTATCAGTAAGGCTTTCAGCTGTGTCCCTTTATAACCCACATCAGCTTTAATGATTTTCTTGGTGGCCATGGCATGCATGATTGCCCCCAGCTCTGGTGTCTCTTCAGGGTACACTTCCCGGGGAACCACCCATTGGGCTGCAATCTCCCAGGGAGACTGCAAGGTATGGTCCAGCTTGGGCGCCAGCTCCACCCGCAAGCCAGTCATCATTCGGTGAAAGGCCCTCTGGTCTTCCCGGTTGGCAGCTGATGTGTCTAAGTTGTCAATCAGGAAAACTTTGGTGAAGATAAAGATGACAAGGAGAATGGCTAACAGCACGACTCGCTGCTTTAGCTTCATGTTGACCTCTTTTCCTTCTCCCCTGACCCACTCTTGCTCACTTATTAAGGAGAGCTGGTGGTGATGGTTAGCAAGGAGATTCCATGATTATACACACTGGTCCATTTCTTCACTGATCCACCTTCCACAGTTCCTGCAAGCCCAAGTATAAAGCAAAATTTGGTCAAAAGTTTTGTCCTTCCACCCCTGAATCTTTTGCAAGCTTCTAATATATTAACTCACCCTTTTAGGCTTGCTAATCTTGCGCTTGAGAAGGTTCAATAATTTAAAAGTAACTAGTCTGGAGAAGGATCTAATGATGGCAGCAGCGGCCCATCTGGAACAGCTGCTGCGAAGACGCTGGCTGCAGTGGGGGACGCATGAGCAGGGCTACATGCTCCACGGAGCTGGCAGGAGGCAGGAACAGGTGGGAGCCCTGCCCCCTTCCAAGTTGGTGGGGCAGGAGCCCTGTGCTCCTGGGTGCGGCTGCTGCCACCCAGCCATAGCTATATCCACAGGCTCAGAAATGCTGCTCCTGCTGCCTGGCCTCTCCCCACTCCCAGCACCCACTCCGGAGTGGAAGAAAATTGTGGCAGAGCCCAGGCAATGTTGTGACCCAGCCAGGTGTACATGTGCTTGGGGCAGTGCTGATACCCACAGGCCCCTGCTGTGTCCGCCCCCTCTGGAATTTGGGCACCAATGAGCATGAGAGGGAGGCTGAGGGGGGACTGAGGATGGCTCAGTGTAGGCCTGCAGGTGTCCCTTGGAATGAACGGCCTGGGCACTGTGGATGACACGAATGGTGGCAGAAAGCAGGCTCCTGGGCAGAAAGGGGTGAGTCCTTGGTGAAGCCCCACCTTCAAGCCAGGAATAGCCTGAAGCCTGAAGGCTGGGCTGTCAGTTCCGGTTAGAATCTGCAGACCAGAGTGAGAACTTACTATGCTTTTTCCGGGCTGGCCCATCGCCACCTAAGGGGCAATCAGCACGTACTTCCTCTCTTCTGAGCTCATTAAAAACCCCAGACTCAAACAGATGTCATGACAACCTGCATGCAAAAGGGATCTACCCACGGTGGGTCTTCTCTCCACTGAGAGCTAGCCACTCATCAGAGGACATGTCTGAAGAAAGGAGCTACCCACTTCGGGTCTTCAGAGAGCTGTTCTATTGCTCAGTGAAGCTCCTTTCCATCTTGCTCACCCTCCAGTTGCCCAGGTACCTCATTCTTCCTGGACATGGGTTAAGAACTCAGGACCCACCAAATGGTGGGAATGAAAGAGCTGTAACACAAACAGGGCTGAAACTTACCCCCTGCTCACCATGTGGTGTGCAATCAGAAAGAGAGAAGAGCTGTGGCCCTTTGGAGAGCTCAGACCTAGGGGATCCCCAAGCCAGGGCTTTGACACCCTCTTTGGGGTTCTGAGGTTCCTGGTGTCTCCACGTTTCTGGGGGCCACCATGTTCCCCTTGTTCAGATCCGAGTACTTGCAGCAGAAGCCACATGTGGTACATGTGGTCCAGGTGCAGCCTCACATGGAGCTGGAGCTGCCTAAAGCTGCCCACCCCACCAGAGAAGCCAGTGTGCCTGGCTGTGTGCAGTGGCCAGACCCCCTGCTAGCTTGTCCACACACCCCTTGGTGCTCTGCACCTGGCCTGCCCTTGGCAGGTGTGGGATCCATGCCCAAAGAATGAGCTCAGCACAGCCTGCTGGGCTGAGTGGGCAGAACGAGCCCAGTGGGTGTGAGCCCTACTCAGGCAGAAGACGCCATGACCACAGGGGTTTCTGGCTGGCAAAGTGACACTCCAAGGATACTGTGACACTAATAAGAAAGAACCAGGTACAATGAAAATTTTAGAGCAAATATTCCTGTTTTAATTGGAATGCAAAGCCATTTAGGAGCCATGAGGTTGGCTACACATGCCTAATAACCAAAACAATGAAAAAAAAAACCCAACAAAAACAAAACAGCAAGCTATACATAATTGCTTAACTTCCATTATTTTAACTTTCAAAATCTATAAAGGACTTTTGCATATCCAAAACCACTAGTATTTGGTAACTTTCCAGTTCTCATTCTGGTAAGACAACAATTCCTAAAAATGCCAGAGTGCAGAGGAGAGAAATAACTATCGTTGAGTCCAAGTACTCAGTGATCCTGGACATGTCATATCTGCTGTTCATGTATTTAAATACAACACCAGACACATATTCCCTAATTATTCTTCAAAATTAAAATAGCTGCAAACCATGGATAATCAAAACTGGATCCATTAAGGGGAAAAAAAAAATCCCCATACCATCAGCAGACTATAACCAGGAAACTAATGAAGCCTGGTACTATAGGAACACTACCACGTCTGGAATGGTCAGGCACATAACAAGGATATTCATGTCACAGACATAAATAAGTGCTCCTTCTAGCATGGGGCTGACCACACTCTGGGCAATTATTATTATTTTTTTTTTGAGACGGAGTTTCGCTCTTGTTACTCAGGCTGGAATGCAATGGCGCGATCTCGGCTCACTGCAACCTCAGCCTCCTGGGTTCAAGCAATTCTCCTGCCTCAGCCTCCTGAATAGCTGGGATTACAGGCACGTGCCACCATGCCCAGATAATTTTTTATATTTTTAGTAGAGATGGGGTTTCACTATGTTGACCAGGATGGTCTCGATCTCTTGACCTCGTGATCCACCCGCCTCGGCCTCCCAAAGTGCTGGGATTACAGGCTTGAGCCACCGCACCCGGCCCCACTCTGGGCAATTATTAAGCTAAAAGACTCCAAATACAAGATTTTTGCAAGGGTGTCAATAACATACAGTTCTGTCTCATTTGCATGCTCAGAGGTTGCTTTCTACTCCATAGGGCCATTTAAAAACATGCACAGGCTTGCTCTGCTATATGCCGACAGACTGCACAGCACTGAGGTAAGAAAAAGATGAGAAGAAGATAACAGGATGTTGCTTCACTCTCCAATTCATTTAACAACTCAAACCATTAATCCAAGAAATAAAACCAATACAAAATATAGAGCCAATGATTCAGGCTGAGACACTCCCACCTAAACATGATATTGCTCCCCTAATAACAGCTGGAAACATACTCAAAGGCAGCCTATCAGAGCAACAATGTATTCTAAGAGCAACATTTTGCAGTGAGCCAGCTGAATGAAGTTTATTCTCAGTGATTAACCATTCCTTTTCTGTTCATTTTCATGAAGGAGGCAGAAAGTGAGAGTTAATTTCAAATTCTAATTATCCCCGCCACCTGTTTTGTTTCATCATCACCTCCCAGGGTACACAACACTATTAGTTGAAACAAAGGCAATTCAAGTGCATCTGAAATGTAATTGTCATGGTATCAAGTTTGGTGTGGAACTCAGTAAAAGTTCCCTGTGATTACTGATAACAGCAGTACTAGCAGAGAAGATTTCAGAGATTTTTGCTAGTTCTAATGCAATCTAAACCATACAACTTTTTCAAGTATTTGTTCAACAGTACACTTCTTAGGCTGCAGAGATAAAAGGCAATATGGAAATCTAGTTGTACTGACAATCACTTCCTCAGTACCTCCAGATGCAACTAGCTACAAATACAATACAATTCTGGCACAAAGCGGTCAGCTTAATAGGCTTTTACTTTCTACAGAACATCTTTCAGGACTAAAGTCTGGTTAACCCATAAACTTTTTTTTTTTTTTCTTAAGGTCTTATTAGAGAAATTCCTGTCCAAACCCACAAACTTTTAATGGCATTGCTCATTCATTTAGAATGAAGAAAATCCACCACCTCCGCTCCCCACCCCCACCCCCAGAATGTATCCAGACATTTTGCACAGAGGTTAGAGCTGTGGTTTTTTGCTTTGTTTTTAATCATCAATGCAATTAAGAAGTTCTAACAGCTCCAGAGGTGGCCGAATCACCTGAGGTCAGGAGTTCAAGAGCAGCCTAGACAACATGGCAAAACTCCATCTCTATGAAAAACACAAAAATTAGCTGGGCGTGGTGGTGGGCACCAGTAATCCCGGCTACTCAGGAGGCTGAGACAGGAGAATCACTTGAACTCAGGAGTTGGATGTTGCAGTGAGCTGACATCCTGCCACTGCTCTCCAGCCTGAGTGACAAAGCAAGACTCTGTCTCACAAAAGAAAAAAAGAAAGAAAGCAATTTATATTAAGGGAACTGAAGGGTTCAGTTGTATTATTTCACTATTTACTTCTGCAGATTCTAAGTGAGGACAGGTTAAAAAAAAAAACTAAACAAGTTTCATGTTTGTGATTACAGTCACCACATCCTGGTAGAACGAGTAAGACTGCAATTTGTCATCGTTCTTTACAACCGTCTTTCATTTCCACAGCCAACTTCAGTGCTCATCATCTTCTTTTGGACCACAGAAAGAACTGATGCCCGGGCCTCCAGGTTCGCCAATCCAGCCTAGAGAATGCAGCCAAAATCATTTTTCGAATCACTCAACCACTTTCGATTGTAGATTCCTTGGCAAGGCATTAAAGCTGTATCCTAAATGGCTTCCAAGCTAGACATCACTCCCATTGTTCCTCTTCTCAGCTTTAGCCACAATCAATCAACTGAACATGCTGTGGTCCTCCTGATGTGCAGGTGCCCTTTGCTTCTGTCATTCCTTACACAGTAGTCTCTCAAAATTTCTCTTTCTCTTACCTTTTCTTCCAGTCTCCTCCTGATAAAGTCTAAGTCTCCTTTCAAGGCTCATCCCCAAGGCCCATCTCTAAGGCAATTTTTGGTCCCTCCTCACACTCTTAAAGTAACTTCTCCCTCCTTTTGGCCAGTACTTAACTATACTCTGCCTTGTATAATAGCTTATTGTATATGGTTCTTAATTATCCTTTCAGAATCTTGGCTCCTTATAATGATCCCCTTCACTCCTTTATGTGTGTGAGAGAAGACAGTATCCAAGACAGGGTTTCCATGCCATATGATCTTCCTTTTTTATTTGGAATAAGGAGCATACTATATTCTGCAAACTGGATTTTCCCAAAGATTCCCCACTTCAGACACTAAGGAAATAAAAGCAAATTCACTGGGTATATTCCAAACTATTCAGGAAAACCTCACTAACATTCCCAGAAGAGTGTGCCTGCTCTATTTCATATCCTCAGCTCCTCCTATAAATGTTTCAAACAGCG